AATCATTCCTTTATATATAGTTTTCTCTTTGTAATACAAGAATTTACTAAACATCTGCAAACTGAAGAAAAGATGACAAAAATCACTCAATATACCAACCCCTGAACATAACTCTAAACACTCTGTAAACTTTCTTCCAGCCTAATTCTTTCCATTTTAAAGTTATAATTTATTTAAATGTTGAATACTGTATTTACTTTATTATATCCTTTTACATATTACTACAAAACCATCATAAATGTCACATCAAAGGGTTTAAAATATTCTGTCAACTTGTTTCAAGTTAGTGGTCTTCAACCTGGCTATATATTAGAATTTTAGGGAAATTTTAAAAAATGCATATTCAGGGCCAACTTCACATTTATTAAATACAAATATCTGGGTGGGGCTGAGGTGTCAGCATTTTCTTAAATCATTCTAAATGATTTAAATGTGCAACCAAGTTTCTGAGCCACTGATGTCAGTAGTGAACATTTAAACTGTCCTTTAATTACAATTAAAATAGCACTGATATGAATATCTTAATGCACATAATAGTCTTTTCTAATGATCAAGAATACTTTATGTTAGGTTTGTAGAGTGGCATTATTAATTCACGAGATATGGGTTATTTAATGACCTTTGTGAATAATGCCAACTGACTTTTCAATGAATTGTTTTGGTTTACATTTTCACCAGCGGTATATAAGCAAGATGCATTACTTGGAGTCAAGAATGAAGTGCAAAGACTGATTAATTTATTAGGTGAACTAAAAAACAATTCTCATGGGATCCTTTAACTCGAATTTTCAGGATTATTGGTAAGACTGAATGCTTATCCACATATTTGTTTATTCCTTAGTTTTATGCATTGGAGCTCCTCTTCTGTTGATATCCTTTGGCCATCATGCTAGAGGGTCATATTTTTCCTTGTTGTTTTAATAATCTCTTTATATAATACCTCTAGCATATTAACTAAAACTATTTTCTCCATGGTTTGTGACTTAATGTTTTGTTTTTCATATGCAGACATGGAAAATGTTATGTAGCCAATTATCTCCATCTTTTCCTTTGTGGTTTATTTTACAGCTTCTAACTTTGAAAAGTTATTTTCCTGTCAAAGGTTGAGTTAAATGTTACATTTAAATTTTTCTAATTTTTTTCCAGTGGTATGACTTTTCATATTTACATTTTTCATTGTCAGTATTTCTCAACATAAAACACAACCAGCATATTACATGTTGAAGAAAAAATATCATTTATAATTGCTTTCTATGGTTCAGAAAGAAAAACAGCAGTTTCCTTGTTCATTACCTAATTTTTTATTCATTCTCCTACCCTTCTCTCCAAAAAATTCTGGTACTACTCATCTGAAATTCCTTGATCAGCAGAATGTCAAAAGGACTCAGCTCAGAGTTTTGCTGGCTATGGGAAAAATTTTACCTTTTAATGTTTGATAAAGGAAATGTCTAAAAATAACTCAACCACTAGTGTTAAGACTGGCAATCATAACACAAGACAAGTGCCAATTTAATTTCGCTTCTTTCTCCTCTCTCCTCCTCTTCTTTCTTTATCCACCTATTCTCAGGGTACTTTGTCCACTGGTGGCCTTCCATTTTGATTAAAAGTACCACCATATAAAGATATTTTTTAAACATGTTTTCTAGAAAAAAAAAAGCCATAGGTTTCTGCAGTAAACTATAAGTTTCGTGAAATTCAAACATCATAGTCATTTAGCATGGTGTGAAATACATATATATATATATATATATATATATATATATATATATATATATATATGATGTAGATAGAATTAGGAAGTAAAAACAAACTTTACAAAAGGACTAATTTCAAAGTTAAGACCTCTTATGGAAACAAGTGGCTTTGGAAAGGAAGTATAAATAGAAAGAGCAGTGAATTTAAGCACCCTTCCCTTCCCCAAACTTAGCATGTGACACTTAAAAATACATATTAAGAATCCAGTAGTAGGCCTAAAAGAAATTCAATATACCTAGCTCTTGTTTTAATTTCACCCTCAGGGAAATATGATTCATGAGAAACGTAAGTTCAGAGTAGGGGGTGGGGGTCACAGAAATGCTTATATTTGCTTATAAGCCAATATTAATACTCTTCTTCCATACACTAAAACCAGTAAAATAAAGGTCAAGATAACTAGGATCAATGTAAGTGTTTAAAGAGAATAAATAATAATGTTGCAGGCTAATAGTTTTTAAAAACTATAAAATTATACATACATATTAATAAATTCCACAAGCAATGCTACTCATCAGTTATATAAATATTGTTTGTTTTATAGAAATAAATATATTCCTTAGGAAAAATGTGCATTTTGATTACCCATGAGGAGAAATGTATCTTTAAACAAAATAAGATTTCCTGTGCATTGTTTGACAGCAATATCAATGTTCCAACCAGACACACAGAGACTCTCCAGAGAACAATTCCAATCACGAAAAAGGAGAATATGTAAATGTAATCGGAGTAGAAAAGAGAATTGAAAAGCAAAGGTAATAGTTCAAGAAAAAATTATTTTAAATCTGGGCCCTTATTTAATCAACTAACTAAATGGTAACTGATTAAACCATTGCTAAAATTATAGAGACCTACCTATGTCTATGTAACAAAAGAAGTATTCTTCTGTTTCCCTTCATTTTTCAAACTTCCTAAAAACACAACTTGGGACATCACAGCTTCTGACCACTTGGCAAGCATCTTATTTAAGTAAGCACAACTCCAACCAACTCATTTAAGTTGAATTAATGTTCTTGGTCGTTTATATTGCCACTTAAAGCTTTCAGGAAATAGTTCCTGAATATACCTGCCACCTAATTTCATGAAATCAATATTTCACTAAAACTAAGTCAGGAAATCTTAAGGTGCTGAATTCAATTATAAATGTTACTTCAGGAGTTGGCAGTAGATAAAATATAGCATTGACATTGAAAATCATTACAGGTAAAGGACTTTACTTCTTTTTGGATGTGGGGGGATTGTTTTCTAATGTACCAGTAACAATTAGTAATGACAACAAGTTAGGATAACAGTAACAGCTTTAACCTTTCTAGCATTAACATGGGTTTTATAAGCACAGAAACAACATTCTCTCTGGCTACAACTCAAATAAATCTATTGTGATGATGAAAGACAACTATCATCAATGTAAAAATGAAAACTAATATTAATTCAAACTTCATCCAAAGATGAAAACAACTATTTACTGAAATCCAGACAAGTTACTCTTTGAGTAGGACACAAGAATTCACCACATCTCTGTCATATATACCGTGTTACACTTAAAAGCAGTGGTAAGCCACGTTCCACATAGAAAAATTTTTGCAGACGTATTAAAAACATAAAAGCTTTTATAAACAGTAAACACCTGATATTTGCCTTCAAATGCTGTCTTTCCTCCAACAGTTAATTACTAATCGCCTGATTGCCTTCCATGCACAGATCCTTAGCGTAGGGTTCTAGGATCCAATATTGGGTATACCATTAGTTCATTTTCAGCACAGAGAGGGAAGAAATGTCAGAACAATGACAGAAAATCCAAAAGTCTAAACCTGTTCATTTGATAATCTTAAAATTATTCCTTTTCTTGGCTTTTCAAACTAAGTGTAATGAAAACTCTGAAAATTTTCAAAATAAACATTATCCTAGTATATTCCTATGTCTCTCATTTCTTCCTTGTTCATGTCTCCTAATCATCATTTTCTTCTTCTTTTCAAAATCTTTTCTCTAGAGACACCTCTTCAAGTCTGACACTTGCCTGTGGCTCACAGTGATGGAAATACTGAGCTTTGGAATGAGCAAGACCCAGGCTCAAATACCAGGTCTTTCCACTTATCACTGTGATGAAGTTAGGCAAGATACCTGGCTTCTCTCAGTACCACTTTCCTCGTCTGTAATATGAAGAAACAGCAACCACTTCTCAATGTTACTGCTAGGAATAAATGAGCTAAAAAATAGAAACTGCTTGACTAAGTGCCTGACATTGATCAGCTAATACAAAAATGTTAGTTTCCTGCCCTTTTGCCAAAATGATATTCAACAGACAGTTCTAATGATATTTACAGACACATACATCTGTGTTTTCTTTTCAGTTATTTACCTGTATTCTACTCTTAGACCTCATAAACTTCTTCCATGTTCAACACTCAACAAGCTTTTCATTACTCTAAAGGAAAATACTGAAATCATATTATATAAATAAATAACCAAGAAGAAGCACCACATTTCTAAGGAACATGTTCGAAATTGGAGAAACTCTAGTATATTCCTTGCAAAAATTTAAAATGCATGAGCAGTTTAAGGCAAAGTAGAGACAGTATTTACGCTGCAAAATTCCTTAAAACTGCAACCCAATTTGATTCTTAGTAAAACAAAGTCAGAATAATGAAGGGCTTTCAGTGAAGATAAAACAGTCACTGGGAAAAATCAGCCTCAAGAATATGTATTAATGTCATCATACTACTTTGCTTAAATGGGTCCCAAGCAAAAGAGTGAACAAGAAGACTACAACTTCAGCAAGAAAGATCATGGAGATGCAGTCAATGTTCACAGGGAAAAGGCTCTGGATATATACAAGAAAGGAAAATAAAACATTTCTATCTAATATTACATAGAATTTTCATTTTTAGATAAATTCATGGTTAAAATATGGCCAAAGTTTACACAAACTGTAATTCAGACAGAAAAATTAGAAGGCACACCAGAGCCTCTCGAATTTTCACTTTCCAACAATTCACACTTTCTCACTTTCCATTCTAGTCTGCACTGTCACACTGACAAAACAGAAATAACATATGTGAGCGACACCAATCTGAGGATCACTCTCATAACCTTCTACCCAGTCATTCAGATCGCACTGCCTGGCCTTCAGATGTCCATTTGTCCTCTCATGCCCACTATATGACAGGGGAATGAGTGACTCTTATGGGGTTCCATACGGGAAGACCCTCAATGTCCATTTTCACCCAACATCACTAGCTGGTACCTACCCGGAAGGAATGAACGGAACCACTCCAATGCAATCCCAGCCACTCCTGCTAGTTCAAGCATTCGGTTCAGCATCACCTCATGACCAACACGAAAGCAGCTGAGGCTCTAATATAATCATCATGGAAAGTTGTCCCAAATCCTTCATTGGAGGAAGATCCTTCATACACACCAACGCTGTCTCCAAGCCATGCCGGGGTCTGAAACCAGACTGGAAAATATTATATATGTGTATATATAGTAAAACTCCCACAAACCACTCTTCTACTTTGTCATATTTATTTACAGCTGCTTAACCAATCCTATATATATCGCCTTCTCAAGATGAAAATATGAACATTCAAGAAAAGATCCTTTCCATAGCAGAAGGTAAACTGAAGGCACATGAAGACCTGGTGCTACCTGTTAAGGTAGTTGAGGTGATCCCAAATGGAAAATAGTTTGTCCTAAAGGGAAGAGAGAAAACACAATATTGGTTTCCAAGGCTAATCTTCTAAACAGGGTGGACAGAATCAAGTATTTAAAAGAGAGAAAGAGGGAAAAAAAGCCTTGACTCTTTCAGCAGATAGAATAGCAATGCCAGATTAACTCCTGAAGATCTATTTGGTATTACCAAACGTGCCTTGACGCCTCCTGAATCCCACCACTTCCATAATCCTAACTACCATCACCTTGACAGCATTATCTGACTCTCTCCTAAACAAAGAGCTCTAGACTGATTGCACCTGCTTATAATGGAGCAGGGCCAGGAACCTTAGAAGGAATAACAACTTGAAATTGTAAGATTTTTTTTAAATGATCAATGGAGCTCCAAGAGCTATCATACATAAAAAGCAAAAAGAATTCAAACCAACTAAGAGAATTTCAGTTTTCCTTCTAACTCCTTAATGAATAGGGTTTTTAGAAACAAAGTAATAGATATTACATAGAGTATTTGAAGTTTAACCAGAAAATTCACTGTTCTTTTTCCCCTTCGGTCCATTATTATAAGATTGAAGACTACTTTCTCTTTGCTTGTCCCCTTCACCTAAAGTGATATAATAGTGACAACTGGAACTTTCAGTCCACTGCCAAATTTTACTAACTTCTTCTAGTTCCAGAATGCATCTAAAACAAAATTGAGTTAATTCACTGCAGCATGATTTTCTATGTACTTACCCTAAATTATTTTTGAGTCAAACTGCTATCTATAAAACTATTCATCATATACAACTGCACTCAAGGTTAATAGAATTCTGTCTTCTTATCTCCATTTAACTTGCTCTACTGGCCAGACCCATTCCATCCTTGTCGGTTACTTTCCCTCTAATTAAAGCAAAGAAAACTTGGAAATATCCAGTTGGTGTATTGCCTCTCCTACCTACTTGGTTTATATTTTGGTTCCTATGTCAATTATTCTGCTGATGTAAAACACCTAGAAACCTTTTAGACAGATTTGGACCTGAGATTTATGGCAAACATAATACTCATTATGTTTTCCTAGACACTCTTCACTAACTTCACTACATCTCATGAAAAATAACATGTCTCTCACTAAGGATAATGCAAAGAATTGACTCACCTAGACATAAAACAGAAAACATTACTTTAAAAGATAAGAGTTCACTTGGTTTCTTAGTAATATGAAATAGTTTTCTTCTTAAAATTTTAAATTCTCATGGTTGACATACTGACCTCTTGTTGCATAACTTGAGGTTCCAACCACAGGCAAGTAAAAAAATCTTCTCAAACCATTCCTTACAAAGATATTGACTAAAGATGTCTGAGTAACATATGTTCAGTCAAACAAACATTTGCTGTGATGGCCCTATGACCTAGGAATCATACAGGACCTGCAGATGAGTAAGGTATGCCACCAGCTATCTTGGAATTCAGTCTATTTGAGAGAACGACTTATTTAAAAAACAACAATAATGATAATCTAGAAATTTCTCAAGGGGTACTAAAGAAGAAACCATATTTCTTTGGGGAAAGTTTCCCAGGAGCACTAACAATGTATACTTAAATGATAAATGAGTATTAGGGTGGCAGTGATCCTAATAACCAACAGAGGCTAAAGCATTAGTGTATGTATGTGCAATTTACAAGAATCTTGGAAACCAAATTACTATTCACAACTAAATATTTTCTATGCTGTATTTAGTTTAACAGGCAGCAAACTATTTCAGTATAATGGGAAGATCCTAGCATACAATGAATATTCAATAAATATTAAACTGAGGATCTCAAAGACAGAAGCGTACAAATGATGACACAGATTTTCCGAAGATTTATTTCCTACATACATATGTATCTACTAAGAGATAGAAAATTGGTTTTGTTTCCTAAAGTCTCTCCCCAAAATTTTCATTTTGTTTATATGAAGCTTCATAATCACATTTCAAACAAAATTTGAATGACGGTGCAGATACAGGACTGGATTTTAAGACACATCCCTTCCCCCCAAAAAATATACCTAACAGACAGTGGGCAGAGAAGTACTGTCAGAATACTACTGTTAACACTTATGAGTTTGGATGGTGGGAAAGCAAAGGAAATTCTACATCAGTGTTATACATTCAGAAGGCTGAAGTGGCCGAAGTATGAAAGCAGCCAAAGAAATATACCACTTGCCCCCAAAAAATGCAACCAAAAGAAAACCTGAGCACTAAGATGTTAAATAAATTAGAATTCATTGTAAACAACTGTCATTATATCATGTAAACATGGCAAATTAGGAAATATAAATGGGTAAAAGCTGCTAACGTTTTAATGCTACAGTGAAAAAAAGTTGCCCTCTGAGTTACAAGTAAGATCTAAGTTACAATTTATCACTTGTAACTCAGAGGGCAATTTTTTTTCACTGTAACATTAAAACTTTACATGAAAGCATCTCATTTAATAAAGGATAATTTACTTATAGGTAGAGTGTGCATCAGGAAAGTACACTGATATTGGAGTCCCAACATTAGTTTGTTTTGTTTTGTTTTGTTTTTTATTTGAAACATAGCTTCACTCTGTCACCCAGACTGGAGTGCAGTAGCACAATCACAATTCACTGCAGCCTCAGTCTCCTGGGCTCAAGCAATCCTGTCACCTCAGTCTCCAAGTAGCTAGAATCACAGGTATACACCATCACACTTGGCTGATTTTTTATTTTGTACAGAAGGGGTCTTGCTATATTTCCCTATATAGTCTATATATGCACAATCTTAAACTCCTGGTCTCAAGCAATCCTCCTGCCATGGCCTCCCAATGTGCTAGGAGTACAAGAATAAGCCAGCACATCTGGCCCCAACATTATTTATTTATATATATTATAAACAATTCAGGCTCTGCTTCATTAAGTAATAATAGTTTTATATCTTGTCATGGAATCTGAATAAAGAACACTAGCTAGACTTCCTTTTCTAATTACTGATGAAATTTTAGATAAAAGATAAATATTAGATGTTATAATATTTTAATGAAATATTATAATAACATCTATAATATTTCTTATAGAAACATAAAGCATTTAGCAACAGCATGCCAAAATACCATTGTAAAATATCTTAGAATATAAATTGGGTGTCATTCTATCTTGATTAGCTTTCTCCAAATGTCTAACAATGGCAGCAAACAGTGACATCTCATAAATATCTTACAATTGACAGAAAATTTTTCAAGTTTTTGTAAATTATTTTATTTTTATAATAGCATCTTGATGCAAGAATTATGATTTCCCATTTTACTGGAAAGAAAAGAAAATTAGTCTAAGTGACTTATCCAAGATAACACATTATATTCAAAGCAGAAACAGAGCTAGAATTCAAATTTCCATTCATTCAATCTGAAAATATCACAAGTCTATATTAGATACTGCAACAGAAGAACATACATATTATGTTAAAATGAAACTGCAAGGATAAAGTGATGAAGCTAAAAAGTGAAAGAATTATTCACAAGGAGGTGGTATGTGACATCTGAATTAGGCCTTGAAGGTAGGGGTGGAGAGCAAAAATTGTTGAAGGTCATTATAGGCTGAGCAGTGTCAGAGAGACCTAAAAGTATAAGAAATGTCTATGTAAACTATATAATGTTTATCAGATGTAAAAAGTGATAATACATCTTTAATATAAATCAAGCCCACAAGATTTAATGAAAAAATAGACATGGAAGAGGCTGGTGGTTGTTCGCCAAGAAGGACCCTTCTCTACAGTTAACACACTCCACTTTTTATCTTGGAACATGCCTCCTCAAGTAAAGATTTATTCTCTAGCTTCCTTTCCACTCAGTGCAAATGTATGTCTGACCAATGGGGCATGAGGAGAACTGTTTATTCAACTTCGAGAACATGTCTTTAAAGGGACTATGTGTGCCCCTTCTTCCAGCTGCAAGCTAGCTCAGACCACTAAGATAAGAACAAATTCCTAGAGACAGAAAAGCAACAAGACAGAAGGACCTAGCTTCCTTGATATCCTGGGGTAACACAGCTATCTCATAACTCCTAGGACTACCCACCTTCAGACTGCAACATGCAAAGTGAACTTTGATTACATCACTTAAACTTTGGGACTCCATGATACCCATGCAAACTTACACATCAGCTTATAGAAGAGATTGTGCTAGAAAGTAAATAGCTAATTTCTTGGATCTCAATTCTCCAAATCTAAGAAAACAACCTGAAAATATTTAAATTAACTGCAAAGGGTTTAATAAAATCAGCAGCATACACTTGTAACAGACAATCAAATTCATGTTTTAAATTTAGTCTACCTATCAATATGCCATATTCTAGACAGTAGGAAGATCAGGGATCAATTTCATTATTTCATATGTGATGAGTAAGACAACATATAGTGGATTAATTACACAAAGTATTTGATAGCTCTGAATTATACTGGATTTATCCACTTTTAATCAGTAAAATAATCATTACATACATATATCACATACTGCATTTGATACACTAAAGATCTATTCATGAAAAAAATTTAAATGTTACTAATGCCAGAAAAAAATAATCAGTAAATGAAAACTTGATTTTTACTGTGGCTTCACATTAGTTGACACTGTTTTCATTTACTAATTGGACTTTTCAGACCATAATATTTTACTGTGACTATATTTAAGTATAATTGCTATCCATTTTGTTTTTTATAGAGAAAAGAAGGAAAATTCAATCAGAAAACATAAAATATAACGTAAGCAAAGAAACAGGGTGGGCTGTAAGTCCATG